TCCGTCCTTCGTGTATGGGACATATTTTACTTTGAAGGTAACCTCAATCAATTTTATAACAGGGTTGTCACGTACGTTCGGCAGCTAACGCATGATATATTTGCAGGCGTAAAATTTCTTCATCGCATCGGTTTGGCTATCTTGGATTGTACGCGCGATTACATTCTAAAGAGTTGCCCGTCATCATCAGAAATTCTTGGATTTCTGTTGCACATACCGCACGAACTATTGACACCCGATCTACTTTTGGAAGCGACTTTTAAGATAAAATTGAAACGCAGTAACATCGAAAGGATGACAAAAATAGCGATTGAAATTGAAAAAAACAATAATTCGGGTACTGACACTCCGAATCCAATTCATAGCGTCGTTAAAGATAGAGAAGCGATAAAAGCGATTATGAAGAAAGTTAAGGGTGCAGACAAATTGAAGATCGATGGAATTGAATTTAAGATGATTGGTGAGAGTGGCAATTCATAGAAACCATTTGTAATATTTATCCGAATGTGTATAGTTATTGAACATATGAATGTAATATATTGGGTGGATCGTTTTTATCTTCGCTGCTCTTTTTATATCTTGTCGGTGTAAGTCGCTTTTACCAAATCAAAGTATTTCGAACAACAAATTTGTTTGTCGATAGACAAACCTTCAACGTAAATAAATAATTGTCTCAATAAATTTGTTGATTATTAAAATTTACAGCGAACACTCTTTAAATGCATGCATCCACGGGATGGAGCAAGAATTTTGAGCATTCAAACGATATGTATAGCATTATAGTCGATAGTATTATTATTAAGTAATGATGATGCCCTGATATAATGGCAAGACGTGAGGTTGGATCGAGTTGCATGCCATGGAATAATATTATTCGGGTTAGGATGGACGAAGCTTTGAGATTAAAATTAAAAATTTTCTGCGCAGACACATTAAATTTAGAATTTTCCTATATTAATTGGCGAGTTCGTGTTTTCTCTACTTTTCTCGATTTATGCAATAATGGTTGGTTGTTACACTCGGAGAACACGAGTAAAGGTCACCAAAAAATAAACAGAGTGGCTAAATATTGTGACATGTCAAAACCTCTGTCCACGGAACCAAGGTACTCTAGATTAGGAAGGGTGATCCCATAATTAAGACTATACATTGATCTTCGCAAATTCTTTTTATATCGTCCAGATTTATCAGAAAATGCCGCCGCAAAATTTTGTAATCCTTGGCGGGGGCATATCAGGTCTAACTGCAGCGTGGTATCTGGCACTCAATGCACCATCGACAACGAGAATTACACTATTGGAAGCTTCGAACAGGTTTGGAGGATGGATACAAAGCACACGTGTTGGCAAGGACAAAATACTCTTTGAACATGGTCCAAGAACTTTGAGGCCTGTTGAATTAGGTGGGCTCGTGGTTTTGGATATGGTATTATTAGTCTCCGAATATGGTTATCATTTTTACGGTTTTATCCATCATCATTGACTACCATTCACTAAATACAGGCAAATAAACTGAAAATATCCGAGTCAATTCATGCCATCCCGAAGGATGCACCAGCCGCCCAGAATCGGTATATCTTTTATCCGAATAAGCTTGTAAAACTGCCCGGTTCTAATTTCTTTTCGGGGATAAAGCAAACTTTGACAACGAGTTTTCTACTAAAATCATTGCCTTCTATAATACGCGAGCCATTTATCAAACAAGCTCCTCCGGATTTAGATGAGAGTGTTCATGGTTTTATCACTAGACGCTTCAATGAACAATTGGCTGACGTGCTAATTAGCGCACTTGTGCACGGTGTTTATGCGGGCGATGTGAGAAAACTTTCGATGCAATCAACTTTTACAAGCATATACAATATGGAAAAATCCTACGGCTCGGTGATTAGGGGGGCGTTCAGTAGAAATCCTTTGCCACTGTCCGTCGAAGATCTGAAGTGGATTGAGACTATCAGTCGAGAAAACGGAGATCTGATGAACATTATCAACAAATCAGCTCTTTATTCCTTCAAGGACGGTATTGGGCAGCTGACGGACG